TGATCTTTCATGTAGAAAACCTTAAATATTACATGAACAAATATACACACACTTATATAACACACATACATATACAAACACACACACACACACACACACACACACACACACACTCACTCACTGTTAGAACTAATAAATCCAGCAGTTAGCAGGATACAATGTCAGCACAGGGCAGTCGGTTGCGTTTCTACACACTAAAGGAAAAACTTTAAGAAAGTGTCTAGAAAATAGAATTCTACTTTGAAGAGCTCTTGTACAGCACTATCCTCTGAGCCAAACAGTTACTTTTATTTTTCTAAGGCCAGCTGAGTCTGCTTGCAAAAGAACTACTGACCTTTCCTCCCTCATAAGAGGAGGGGGTGGAGAGGATCATGGGACTCTCACCTGAGTATCTAGCAGTCCCCCCAGTCAGAAGTATTCAATTCTGCCCTAATTGTATATGGCCTCAGGATCTTGGGTAGAGGCTAGAGCTTACAGGCCTGAGAAGTCTAGGGAAAGGGGGCTCCATCTATTTGGCTATGAGGGAGCCATCATCTGCGTTGGGTGAAGACTTTCCAGTGCAGCTACTTTGGGGTCACCCAGACTCCTGTCAGTAACCCCTTATCCATGCTCTGTAAGTAAGTCCAATAAACTTACTGGTTCCCCAAGGGAACTTCGGTGGAATCAAACTTTTCTTTGTCATTGGGACCTTAGAAGGATGGGGGTAAACACTGCCCAGTAACCCCACTCAGGAGAAAATTGTCACAATAGCATAAGAATAAAATTGAAATGAATAAAAATGATGAAATACATGTACTTTCAAAGCTACAAAATGTTGCTGAGAGAAATTTAAAAAGACACAAATGAAGGAAAAAAAACGACCAGTGCTTGTGGATTAGAAGTCTTCAGTGTTAAAATGACAATACTGTGCAAAGCAACTGTCAAGTTCAGTATATTCTTTAACTGAAATCTCAATGACTTTTTGTAGAAAAAAAGAGAAGTCTGTCCTAAAAATCCATATGGGATCTGGAGGGACTCAGAATAGCCAAAATCAGTAATGAAAATGAATAACTCTTCCTGACTATAAAACTCACTACAAAGCTACAGTAACCCAAGCAGTATGGAGCTGGCATGAAGACAGACTTATAAATAATGGAACAGAATAAATAGCCAGAACAGTCCCCTGCATTTGTGATCAAATGATTGTTAACATAAGTACCAAGGCCATTTGATGGGGAAAAATATAGTCTTTTCAACAAATGGTGCTAGGAAAACTGGATATCAACATGAAAACGAATGAAGTTAGACATTCCCCTACAGCCACATGCAAAAATTAACCCAAAAGGGATCAAAGATGTAAATGTAAGACCTACAACAAAAGAAAGCATAGGCCAAAAGTTTTACAATATTGTCATTGGCAAACAGTTTCACAGATGAATTTAATCAAGCATGAAAGAACAAAGACCAGTCTTATGGAAACCCTTCTAAGAATACAGAGAACTCTTCTGAACCCATTTTATGTTATCAGCAAGGCCCTGATGCCAAATCCTGACACGGGCATTACAAAAAAGAAAAATAAGAAGCAAAATCCTAGCAAATCAAATCCAATAAGTTCTATATAATGACTGAGTGGGCCTATCCAGGAATGCAGAGTTGGCTTAACAACTCAAAATCAGCCCAGTGTGAAATGCATTAGTTAGCTCTTTGTTTCTGTGACAAAAATATCTGAGATGAACTTAAAGGAGGAAAGACTGATTTGGGCCCATGGTTTCAGAGGTTTTGATTGATGGTCAGCTGATTCCTTGGCTTTTTGGTTTGTTGCAAAGCCAAAACAAAGGAAATCTGCTCACCTCATAGTAGACAGGAAGCAGAGAGAAAAGACAAGATACACCCCCAATGACCTACGTCCTCCAAATAGACCCTGCCTCCTAACAGACCATTCAGCAATGAATTTAGCAGTGGGTTCATCCACAAATGAAGTTACCATCCTCATGGTTCAGGAACCTTTCAGAATCCTGTCTCAGAGCACTGCTTACACTGAGGACCAAGAACTCCAACACTTGGGCCTTTCGGGGGCACACATCATGTCCATGATAGTAATCAAAAGTGTGAGAGAGGGGAGGTATGCACAGTTAGATGACTTACTTTACATTTTTATTTATTTATGTGTGTGCCTGCCACAGTGCACGTGTGGAGGTCAGAGGACAACCTGTGGGAGTCTTTTCTCTCCTTCTACCATGTGGGCCCTGGAGAGTACACTCAGGTCATCACGCTGGGCAGCAGGTGCCTTTACTCATGGATCTATCTCACCAGCCCCTTAATCACTTTAAAGGTGGTAAGGGGTAGCTGGGGAGGTGGATCAGTGGGTACAGTGCTTCCCAGGCAAGTGTAAGGAAGCCCACCTGTAATCCCAGCACTCAGGGACAAAGACAAGAGATCCCCAGAGGAGCTGGCTAGTCAGACTAGCTAAATCAGTGGGCTCTGGGTTCAAGAGAGAGCCCCTGCCTCAATATGTAAGATGGAAAGTGATCAAGAAAGGTATCTGATATCAAACCTCTGAACTCCACTCCCACCCACACCCACACGTTTAAAAGAAAAGATAAAAAGGGGGGTTAGGGGAAACAATAAAGTACCCCAGTTCTAGGCCACATACAAAAACAGACTGGTTATCTTTCCAAGCCACTTCAAGTTCATGACCAAAATGTTTCCCCATCATAGAAGAACATATGATTCTCTCCCCTGATGGAGTCGATGGGCATTCATCTGCCTCATTCAAAAGTAGTTTTAAAAGAGCGGGGGGCTGGCGGCACTCAGGAAATGGCACATTTCACTCTGTTCAGTTTTTGGGGGGTTACTCCCCACCCCAGCTCTCCTGCAAGTTTGGTGGCTGTTTAAAACAGCCATCCCCCCTCCCTTGGGAGACTGTAATTCCTGTCTGATTGTGATCACTTTACACAGCCCATTACTTCATAGCAAGGTTTACTATTCCAGTACTGTAGTGCCAACGGCTTTCTGGCTGGGTTTTTATTGCTGAAATTAACTCAGCCTGGAGGGCCCATACCTCTTAGATAATGTAATGTAAGGACACTAATCTAGGAACTTTTCCTCTGAAACCATAGCAAATATCTGAATGTTTTGTTTTAGGCTGAGAAATCAGATTCTTACAGCATCTCTAATTTCCCTTGAGCTGTGAATTCAAAGGACTTAGTCTGTTTTTGCACCACGTTTTACACTCAGAAAATAAATTTTAATTATATAATTCTTTGAGAATCTTCAACACTGAACAATTAAATTAAATTGGAATCTCCATCAAGCTCCAGATTCCCTTTTGTGTTACTGTTTTGTTTTTTCATTTATTAATGAAAAAACGTTGGGGATTCTACTAAGCTTAGAAAGCCAGGCTAAGCATTTCAAGACAATAAAGGCTAAAGAGTTTGCTTTTAAATTTTTATTTATTTGTGTGTGTGTGTGTGTGTGTGTGTGTGTATGTACGTACACACACACACACATGCATGCACGTGTGTATGTGTGCTCAGATGCCCAAGCAGGCCAGAAGAACGCGTTGGATTCCTGGAATTAGAGTGACAGGCAGCTGCCCAACTTGGGTGCTGGGAGCTGAGCTTCAGCTCTCTGCAAGGGTAGCAAGCACTCTTAACCTCTCTTAACAGCCACCTCTCCAGTCCCTCTTTTGTTTTTTTATGTTGAGGGTGGATCCCAGGGTCTTGTGCATTCTAGGCAAGGGCTTTAATCACTGAGCAACATTCAGTCCAGAGTTCTCAGTATAGAGAGCTTAAAAGTAATACAGAAAACAGGAGCTGTGGAGATGGCTCAGCAGGTGAAGGTGCTTACCACCAAGTCTAACAACCCGAGTTTGATCCCCAAGAGCCCACAGAGTGGAAAGAGAAAACCAACTCCTACAAGTTGTGTTCTGACCTGCATGCACCCCCCTCTGCACACAAAACAAACATATGTAAAAAAAAAGTTGTTTAAAGTAATTCAGAAAATAGGGCATGTATGTTAATAGTTGACATATATGGCAGAATGTGATAGACACCACAGATCTCCAAACCCTACCTAGCTGGGAAGATACAAGGGAGTTTTACAATTGAGGTCTTTTGGTTTGAGGCCTAATGCTGACAGGGAGGGCTAGGGGTCTAGCTCAGTGATAAGAGTACTTGCCTAGCATGCTCAAGGCCCTGGGTTTGATTCCTAGCACTGCAAATACATAAAACAAAGAATGAATGAATGAATGAATGAATGAATGGATGGATGGATGGATTTTAATATGGGGGCTGAGGAAAAGAGGTCTTGCCCTTGGAGAACTAGGGCTAGAGAGGCAGGGGAGCCAAGTCTGAGATTCTGCATTCACTTGGTAGTAAAAAACCACTATCCAAAATGACATTTTCTTATATTTATTTTGTGTGTGCGCGCGCGCGCACACACACACACTACATCATGAGTGTGGAAGTCAGAGGACAACCTTTGGAATGGTTCTCTCCTTCTACCATGTGGTGCCAGGGATCAAACTCAGGTCATCAGCCTTGGTGACAAGCACCTTTACCTACTCCACCATTTCCCAGGCCACAGTAGGACATTTCTAAAACATAATTGTAAGACAGACATTGAGAGAACATGGAAGTGCCCAGACTTCTGTCACTTTGCTAAATAGACCTCTAAAGTCTATTTTCTGAGACAGTGTATTGTCAGGTAAACATCACTTTTAAATGTCTCTGGGCTTCCATTTCCCCATCAGCCAGACCACATGTAAACCTGACAAAGGAGCAAAATGCTCTCTGTGTGGACAGGAGCAGCGAAGAGAACAGAGCTCGGCTGCAGGAAGACCTTGCTCAACATTGGTGGATCCAAAGCACCTGGGCTGGACCCTTCTGCTGGCACTGGGTTTAGTCACACGGTCAGAGGTGCACACTTTGAGCTTCTCAGAAGAGGGCAGCCACACCCGCTCTCACAAAGCATTCTCCAGGCGCGCACACAAGAAACAGGGCTGAGAGCCCCCCACTCACCAGTGATGTAGAAGGCCTTGTGGTGCTCCAGGCGGACAGTCTGCAGGGCTCCATACTCTCCAGCGGCCCCGCTGTTGGGGTGAAACAGCACCTGAGGAAGAAAGCAGAGCTTATGTATAAGAAAACCGTGCCAGGACCAGAGAAAAGGCTCGGCAGGAAAATGCATTTGCTGTGTAAGCCTGACGACCCGCGTTCCATTCCCAGAATCCACATAAAAAGTCAGATGTAATGGTGCTCATCTGTAATCCCAGCACTCCTACTGCAAGACAGGAGGCAGAGCCAGGAGAATCTTCTAGAAGCTTGAAGGCCAATGAGGCTGGAGTACACAGCATAGCAACAGAAACAAGACAGACCCTGCCTCAACAAGATGGAAGGTGAGAACTAACTCCAGAAAGCTGTCCGCTGACCTCCACATGCAGACATGGCACATGTCATACACACACACAAACGATATATACACACATCATACATACATACATAAGATCACCATGTTAGCCCTCATGGCCCACTCACCTTGTCCCTATCCACACCACTAAACATTCACTGACAAGCAGGGACCTGTAGCTGATGCTGACCAACACCTGAGAGCCACTGTGAAATTATCATTTGATTAGATGTTTAGGAGAAATGGGTAACAACTCTGAACTAGCAAGTGAAAGATCTTCTGGGTATGTCAGATGGGCCTGTCTCAGAGCAGACATTTTTTTTTCTAAAGATTTTTTTTTATTTTCATTTATGTGTATGTATGTATGTATGTATGTATGTATGTATGCTCTGTGTGTGTGTGTGTGTGTGTGTGTGTGTGTGTGTGCACGCCCAAGGAGGCCAGAAGTGGGCACTGGATCCCTGGAACTGGAGTTACAGGTGATTGTTAGCTGCCCTGATGTGGGTGCTCAGAACCAAACTCGGATCCTCTAGAAGAACGACAAGCACTCTTAACCTCTGAGCCATCTCTTCAGCTCTGAGAAGACTCAGCTGCCCAAGTCACACATCCAGGAAGCCTAGTTGCACTCACCCATAGGGTACAAAAAAGAGCCTGTGAACTGAGCTGCTTTACAAATATCCCCAGGTTTTGTAATGAAGTCCATCATCAGGTATCTTTAGAAATTGGCTCCTTCAGCCTCAAGTTGATTCTCTAACTCTCTTGAGCAAGGATGGCATAAGAAAAGTGTCTCTAGCCCCAGGGACAGCCTCATGCAGTGCTAGGGATGGAACCCAGAGCCTCATATGGGCTCCACGCACACTCTGCCCCCGAGCTACAGGCCCAGCCCAAGCCTAGCCTGAACACAGACTTCCACGCCTATGACTCAATCTTACTGCATTGCTGAGGAAGTCTTTCCTGATCAGTCAGACATGGGAGAATTACCCTAAAGGTCGGAAATACCTAATTCAGAGTTCCCAAGGGAAGGACTTGGTAGGAAATAAAAGGCCAGCATCCTTGGTAGTTTGGTGGGTTTGGGCTGGAAGTATGAAACTGCCCTGGTATGAATCATGTCTGTATGCATCGCTGGGAAGGCGTTTATGTGATTCAAAGTTTCCATGGGGCTTGTAAAAAAACGAGAAACATCTGTTGGAGCAGTAAACAGCTGCCCCCCTAAGTTTCAGTGCCCCCAAGAGGATGCTGCCCAGGGAAGGGCTCCCCCACACCTGCTGCTTCCCTGCTTTCCCGTGTCAACCCTACAAATATCCCATCAGACTTCCTCCAAACAGGAAAAGACGTCATAAGTGGACACCTCACCTCTTCCATCCCTGTAAAAAGCAGCTCCTGTCACGGCAGGACACTGCTTTTGTTCTCTTGAGAAAGGCAAGGAGCAGACTTGGTCCATCTATTGTCTGTCTCCTGATCTACGATGTGTTCGTACCCCTAGAACACAGTCAAGGTCGGCCTCTTCAAACAGTGCATATCACTTGGGTCTCAGTAGCAAAACCTTCTTAAGGGTGGGCTGCCATATTTGGATGTGTAAGTGACACTAACAGAAATTTCCAAAATCCAAGAAACAAAACTGGGGAGGGCTGATTCTCAGAAATGTGGATGGATTTTGAGGAACTCAGGTAAGCATTTTTCCCCGTTTAAGCAGACTGATGATGGCTTTCTCGTTTACGTCATCATAGGGATAAGGCTGGTAAGTTCGATGCAGATCACGGCTGAAGATGTTTCCTCTCCAGATGCCTAGTGCACAGTTCAACGATGAGTTTATCTTCTGCAAACTTGGGTCGATGTCTTGGTAGTCTTTCTTCCCTTCATGCCTGTTCGTTTGCTACCTTTTGTTTTGTTTTATCAAGCATGGGGGTGTCACCTTATACTGGGCTCTCTGTGGCATTTCCAAAGATGGCTTCCTATACCCCATCGGGCAGGTGTGTAGAACTTGAAGTCTCCAAAACCAGGGGTGGAGAGGGTTGTCAAGCATCTGTCAATCACTCTGGATGACACTTTTTCACCACTAGGGGCCTCCCTAAGAGAGCTGATAGACGTTCGGATACCATATTAGGGTTCAGTTTCCTCTATGTATGGCCTCGGATGTGCCAAGCTATTTATGGCCCAAGCAACCCCAGACTGGGTTGGGCTGGGCAGACATAGATCTGTTAAGGAAACTTTCCCTTCAGTGACAATTTTTGGACCTGGTTATGACAGATATGACTTGATCCCTCATGACATCACCACCTCCAGTTTCCATCTTAGAGTCAAGAGAACAGAAAGTGGGTCACTGGATTCTGGGATGAGTACCCCTCCCCATCTCTGCTCTCAGCCCTCTCCTTGTGGTTGCCCTCACTGCGTAGGCACAGGCCTATCCATGTTGGAGGCAAGAGGTTAAATATGTAGAACATGCAGTGAGATGTCAGCAGACATGATATTCCTAGAGGGGATGAAGTAGGTCATGAGATCATGGGCACGGAAGTTAGTAGGACATTGCATTACGCCTGTCATCTCACGGCCTGGGGAGATGGATGAGGCTACACGGCTCTAGGTTGCTTTTGTCTTCAACACTGAACTATCCTATCAATTCAGACAAGACCCCAACTGCTAAGAAACATCCGCATATTGTTTTGAACTGACTATCTAGGAGGTTCTTTAGGCTTCTAGAAACTGGAATGGTTTTCCAAACCAACTCACACTTGAATCCTCCTAAATGGAGGACATGTCTGTGGGTGAATAGAAATTGTATTTATTAAGATATACATATATACTATATAAATGTATAGATAGCTGGATCTATATGCACATATCCAAAACGATTCATTTTTACTTTCTGGCCTATCCTAATTCAAGACAATTTAGTTTCTGTAAGTCTATTCCTTTAATCCATCAATTGGACTGACCAGAAAAAAACCAACCCCAAATTAACCATGTTCTTAAACTCCAAATAGTCTTATCTCAAACATCTTCACACATAGCAGAAGAGGCAGGTGCTCCGAAGGCTGAGCTTAGGCCGTGCTGTTGCCTTTGAAGACGCCATCAGCCACTTCCTGCAGGCAGGACGCTGGCTGCTTCTTTCTGTGCCACAGGGTGTGGTGAGGGAATAACTCAGTCCTGACTTAGCCTAGGTTACCAACACAGCTTAGATCCTCCGATGATGTCATGATATCCAGCCTTATATCTGTTTCTCCCACCTGGTTCCTGGGTCTGACACTGTGATTATACCCAAAGGTGCAGCTAGAGGAAGAGAGCTGGGCACTCCCCTGTCTGAGAACAGAAGTGAGTGTCAGAAGGAGCTGGTGTCCACAGGAGGCCTGACAAAGTCAAGAAGATCACAATCCTTGAAGCACTTCCTGGTGACCCCAATCATTCTATTAGTAGCCTTAGTAGCCCTGGCAATAAGCACTCAGAAGCACCCCTCCACAGAAGCCTTAGCTAATGCTCCCAAGGTCACACACAGCTGACTTCCAGCCTCAGGCAGAAACTATCTTCCTGTTTTCTGCTGCTCAGGAGAAAGGGCCAGGCCCAGAGCATCAGCTCTGGAAGGGCTTCTTGGGGGGAGGGGGGTCGTTCAGGCCTAACCTGACAAGCCCTAAAACCGCATCAGTGGGCAGAGAGGTGCAATTGCCCATCAAGGCCCATTTTCTGGTTGGTCCAGGAAGGCTGGAAAGGAAAAGTGGCTTCAATAATCACCTATCAGGGTGCACTAGAGCATATCTGAGTCACTTCCACGTGACCTTCCAAGACATAAATAGACCCTTAGAAATGTAGGTCTCTGATTGGGGAGCTGGGTATTCACTGGACCTTACACAAGGGTCTAGAAGCTCTTCCAGCCTCCCTCTCTCCTCCTACTTCCTCTTCCTTTCAGTAAAAGGAAAACACAAACAAGTGGAGGCGATAAGTGGTAGGGAAAGACCGACATTTCTGGGCTGCTACTCAGTGCTGCAGGGTACCTGGAGGAGGTGGCCCTGGGAAGCAGAAGCCCAAAGCCATTGCCGCTTCATCAAGAACAGTCTCTGCAGCCGAGGTGGCACATGCCTCTAATGCCGGCACTCAGAAGGCTGAGGCAGAAAGATTGCATGTTCAAGACCAGGCTGTTGCAAGAGCTCCTTTCAAAAGTAAAACATAGCCAGGTGTGGTGGCACACACTTCTAATCTCAGCTCTGGGGGAGTGCTGGGAACACAAAGACCTTTCTGGCCCTGCCATCATTCAAAGGGGTTTCATTCATTCACTTGCTCATTAGTTCATCTCCTTTGCATGCACTGAGTGCTGAGAACTGAGACGTGAACCCAACAGATGGGACCCTTGTCCTCAGGAGGCTTCTATGCTAGCTGAGCTCCATGAAAAACACGTGAGACATTGGTCAGGCATCTTGCCCAACAGAAACAAGCTGGGTGCATAAGTTATATCAGAAAATTGAAAGTACGCAGGAAAAGAAAATTACCCATTAGAGAGAATAAGAACTCTCACACCTCTACAGGAAGCCAAAATGTTAGATACAAAGCTGGATTAACAAACCAAATTATTGGGGGCAGTTTGCCTCAATAACAAACCAAATTATTGGGGGCAGTTCACCTCAGTAACAAACCAAATTATTGGGGGCAGTTCACTCATCCCTGGGATTTTTCACACAGGGTCTGAATGGGCTGTTGGCACCCATCTTGTGAGTGTGGTTATATTTGTGCAAAGGTAGCAGGTACTAGATGTGAGAGACACAGCTCAGACCCAGGCTTCTTCCACTTACCCTGTGCCCCATCCTCGACCTGCCCAAGAGTACCTCGGAGGCATCCAGTCCATCAAAGTGCCGGAATGGGGGTAGGCTGGCTCCTGCGAGGGCTACCACCGTGGGGAAAATGTCTAGCACACTGTAGAAAGAATAAGACACAGTGCATTGTGAAATTTGCAGTAAGTGGATTATGACTTATCAAAAGGAATTTATTTCTTATATGCTTTTAAAATGTGGTATTTGGGTCTGGAGAGAGAGTTCAGTGGTTAAGAGCACTGACTGCTCTTGCAGAGGGCCTGGGTTCAGTTCCCAGCACCAACATGGTGGCTAATAACCATCCATAACTCCAGCTCCAGGGGATCCAATGCCCTCTTCTGACCTCTACAGGCATTGCACAACACAGGTGCACCTACCTGCATGTAGCAATACACTCATACACATAAAATAAAAATAATAAATAAAATATTTTAAAAAAAGAGGCAGAATGATGTGGGTGCTTCAGCACCTGGGCTCTGAGGCCAGCCATTGCCCAGGCTCAAATCCCAGCTCTGCCACCTATCCAACACTCAATGCCTTAGTTTCCTATTCTGTAAAATGGATGTTTTAATAGCAATGCCTGTCTCACGGGGTGGCTGTGTGTGTAAAACATTTAGGGAAGCCTGGTACTCAGAAAGTGCTTACTGGGTGTTTGGGTTACAATTACTAACAGGGTCATGCCTTTGAACCTAAGAGCCAAGAGTTGGCCTCTGCCCTATCAGGAATAGTGTGTGGCAGGTGTCTTCAAGAAAACACTGAATTCATTGTCCACGGCCCGAGTCTCTGTCTTATAAAGATTTAGTCTTTACCAAACGTATGTGAAATTTTAGTTATGATTTGTGAAATAGTCCACCTCTAATTTACTTTAACTCTTTTTACCTATTACAAAATAGTGAATGCTTTAGTAGAAAGAAAAAAAAAAGAACATGCAGAAATATAACAAGAAATATAACAGAAATAGTCCATCACCTGAAGGCAACTGCTGTCACTATTTAAATTCTTAAAATTTTTATTTGCATGTGGGTATACACAGTGTGGGCATGTATATATAAGTGTTTCCCCATGTATATGTGTGGAGGCCAGAGTTTGACGTCCAGTGTCTTTCTCTGTTACTCTACACATTGTTTTTGAGGCAGGGTCTCTCACTGAACCTGGAAACTCGCTGTTTCGGCCAGACTGGCCCTCCTAGCACTGGGGTTCTTAGCACTAGGGTTACAGATGTGCCGTGGCACTCGGCTTTTATACGCATGCTAGAGATTCAAACTCAAGCCCTAACGCCTGCATAGCAAGCACTTTACCCACATGAACCATCTTTCTAGCTCCACGCACTATTACCATTTTTGGTGAGTTTTGTTAAAGTGATTTTATTTGGTTCTGGTTTTGGGTTTTTAAGACAGGGTCTCATGTAGCCCAGGCTAGCCTTGAATTTCTGATTCTCCTGCCTCTACTTCACAAGTGCTAAGATTACAAGTTTAGGTAATATGATCTTTTAAAGTGTATACCCACATGAGGAACTTTACCATACGGGTGTATCTCTTAGGCCCCATGCTCATATAGTGGGTGGTGGTGGGGATCGTCAGCAAGAGTAAAGGATTTCCCTTTAAACAGATTTGTTTATTCAAGAGCCAAGCCAACTGAAGCCAACGAGATTTTCTGGAGGGCCAACATGAATTCTAGACTTCCTCCAGCAAAGAGGCCCTAGTATCCCAGGGGCTTGGGACAGCATCCGAATTCAGGGTCAGGAATAGGAAACCCCTCAGGGCAGTATCATCAGGATTTTTCCACCCTGAGGTCTGGGGTGGGGGGGTGGCTCTCTGCCTTCCACTGTCTGTAGTGAGGACCCACCACTGCTGTGGCTCTTCCTTGTCAAGTCATCTCCTGCCATTCCCCTTAGACCTGAGGCAGAATTTCTCACTGACTATGGGACAGAGTGTCTCTGTTTGCCTGCAGCTTTCACAGTTCACAAAACTGGTGTCTTATCGCTTGAGATAGGTGCTCCAGGAGCTGGCCTCCCACAAGGGTGCCCAGTCAAGGCACGCAGAGTTAGCATTCAACAAGTACAAAGCAGTCCAGAAACTGTCCACAGTCCATGGTTCCTGCCACAAATCAGGAAGCACAGAGGTCTATGGTGCAGTCTGAAAAGACTGAGGTGGTTTGAGGCGGTTTGTTCAAGTGTTCTTTCTCAACTGCACTCCTAAGAGAGATCAGTATCAAACCCATAAGAAGCAAGAAAAATAGGATTCACATTATATGTTCTAATTTGTGCGTGTGTGTGTGTATGTGTATGTGTGTACTTGTGTGTGGGCATGCATACTTGTATGCATACAAAGGCCAGAAGAAGGTGTTGGGTGTCTCCTCTGTTACTTTCTGCTTATTCCTTTGAGTCTGAGTTTCTCCCTCTACCTGGGCCTTGCATTTTCTCTGCTAGTGTGAAAACCAGCAAGCCTTAGAAGTCCTCTTGTTTCCAGCCCACTCCCTCCCCTCAGACTTATATTCACAGGTATAGATGTGGGTCCTGGGATCTGAACTCTAGTCCTCATGACTGTATAGCAAGCACTCATGATCTCTGAGCCATCTCTCTAGCTACCCCCTCCCATTAAATTTTAAAATAGATTTGGATAGGAAGATATTTCATTTCATAAAGTACTTGCTTTGCAAGTATAGAGAACTGAGTTTGGTCCCCAGAACCCATGTTACAAAAATCTGACATGGTAGTATATTCTTGCCATCCCAGGACTTGGGAGGTGGAGATGGATAGATCCCTAGGTCTCACTGCCCGGTCAGCCCAGCCTAATTGATGAGTTCTAGGCCAGTGCCTGAGGAACAACATCTGAGGTTGTCCTCTGACCTCCACACACATGTGCATACACACACACACACACACACACACACACACACACACACATTTAAAGTGGATTGTAAGCTTTCCTTTGCCATCTTAAGGGACATCAGCATCACAGATGGGTCAAATCAGTCAACCAGGAAAATAGAATCTGCATTACACTTTTGGAAAGTATTGTGTATTTTCTTTTTCCACCTTATTTTCTCTCTCCATCATGAGGTTTAGCATCCTAATTATATAGCACTAAGTCTAACATTCGGGAATCCCAGTGTCTCAGAGTTTGGCACATACTTTAGAGGTGCCTAGTCTACCCAGAGCACAAAGAAAGCTCTTGCCCACGAGGAAAACTTTAACAGGTTTGGTGACTCACACGACTCAAGGTGGCCCAGTCCAGCATGGGTATGGCTGAGCTATCAGAAAGTTCTTCATCAAGGAATGGAAGAAGCCCAACTTCTGAGGTTGGCCCTACGAGATGGAGATGTTTACTGGCACACATAGATCTGGTACCACCCCAGGGCAGGGCTCCCCACCTGTACATGAACTTTCAGAGCACATCTGCCCTACAGAGGCTGCCAGTGACACACCAAGTCTTAACCCCCACCTAAAAAACAGGTCCTGAAGGTCTCTGACACCTTAGAGAAAGAGAACAAACAGCAAAGGTCAAACTAAAGACCTGCAAAATGAATACCTACACTTTCAAGTTGTTCATTCTGATGCCTGACTTGTGTCAGAGTCATGTTTTAACTTGTTAGGAACCTTGGTGAACATTTTTGCTTTCATGGGTCTCTTCCTCTATTGAAAAAGAAATGGCCTGGCAAGATATGGCCTCTGGTGCAACAGTGGCAAGAGTATTATGAGCGTAAGCAATCACTTTCTAGTTGGATTTAAGATCTGCCTTCATAAGATGGAGCCCATACCTGGCATTGATATCAGGCCTAGGAACATGTGGCTAGATAGGCCACAGATCACAAGGGACAGCCCAATACTACTTTTCTGCTAAGCAGTAGTAAAGTGATTCCTCATGACTTATGGTTTTACCCACAGATTCATGTATCTCTCAGCTGAAGCAGAGAAGCTTCCTTCAGCAGCAGATGGTGATTAACACAGAAACCCAAAACCGACCAACATGCAGAGTACATATTTCTGAGTAGAACACCTATATCAAATTTCTGCCTCCAAAGGCTCCAAGCCAGAGGCTGTAGATGACCACAAGGAAACAGAGTCTTCCAGACATCTGGGCAGTCACTCATATGAACTCAGAGCAATGGTGACACTATGTATAAGTTCCATGTAGGCTCAAGCCAGACAAAATTCCAGCATAGACATGGGGAAGTAGGTAAGAAACCCCAACCACACACGAGGAAGTACTGGAAACTGATGGCTGCTGGGAAGGGGAGAGTCAGTCTCTTGGGTGTGACTCTTGGTTAACCAGGATCCATCTAGTGGATGGATCCACACTGAAGGACACTTAGGAACACAAATTTGACTCTACAGGGATGTGTGTGTGTGTGTGTGTGTGTGTGTACCTCACCTGACTAGAAGACAGGTCAGATAGATCTCCTGGAACTGGAATTACAGATGGATGTGTGTGTGTGTGTGTGTGTGTGTGTCTCTCATCTGTCTAGAAGAGATGTGAGATAGATCTCCTGGGACTGGAATTACAGATGGGTGTGTGTGTGTGTGTGTGTGTGTGTACCTCACCTGACTAGAAGACAGGTCAGATAGTTCTCCTGGAACTGGAATTAGAGATGGATGTGTGTGTGTGTGTGTGTGTGTGTGTCTCTCATCTGTCTAGAAGAGATGTGAGATAGATCTCCTGGGACTGGAATTACAGATGGGTGTGTGTGTGTGTGTGTGTGTGTGTACCTCATCTGACTAGAAGACAGGTCAGATAGATCTCCTGGAATTGAAATTACAAATGGATGCGTGTGTGTGTGTGTGTGTGTGTGTGTGTGTGTGTGTGTGTATCTCACCTGGTTTATGCAGTGCTGGGGATCATACTCCTGGCTTTCTGTATACTAGGCAAGCACTCTACATTCTGAACTACATCCTCAGTTCCTTCACCTAAGAGTCTTATGGGCCTTAGCACTGTGCTTCATGGGCTTGATGGATAGGTGGGTTTCTGCCAAGAAGCCCCACTTCCACAGGCCTCCTGATTATGAGAAAGTAAGCCAGTGCATCTTCATGAAAGGAGAACGCTACGGCTGAGGAGACTGCACAGTGACAGAAGAGGCCAGCCTGAGGGTGAAGAAATGGCTCAG